GAGGAGGAGGAGGAGGAGGAGGAGGAGGAGGAGGAGAAAGAAAGAAAAAGAGGAGGAGGAGGAAAAAGAAGGAGAAAGGAGGGGTGGAGGAGGAAGAAGAAGGAGAAGAAGAAAAAGAAGAGGAATAAAAAGAAGAGGAGGAAGGAGGAGCTTCTTGAATGAAAAGCAAAACATTTGATGCCTGGGAATCTCCATAGACTTTTGCCTGAATCTTGACTGAATTTGTTCAATCGTGTTTTTATGGACAACAGTGGAATCCACATTCTCCCTCAAAGAAACATCTCAGATCTAAGTCTCATTTTTAATCTGTCAATCAATTCTCAGAGTCGCCATCCTTTCACCCAGCAAACAAGCCCACCCTGGTTCTTTCGCCGCTGACAACATAAAGCAAAAAAAAAAACAAAAAACAGGAAAAGCACCTTTATACTGTAGTCAGTAGAATTGTGTCCCAGATCCCAACATACAGGAGACAAATTCAGTGCCCAAAATACTGCAATAAAAGAATCTTAAGATTCTACACCGTCCCAGAGGAAGGGACGAATAAGAGAAACAGAACGAAGGCAAAGTTATAAGATATTTAAGATGCAATTCCGCCGGCAGAAGAAGAAGAAAAAAAAAAGGAAAAATATAATTTTAATCATTCAGGAAGGGACACTTCCACATTACAAATTCTAAAAACCCTTCCTTAAATTGATTTATGTTTTTCTTTCCCCTCGATATTTTAATTACAAAATGTAAGGCTGTATCAGTGCATAAGTTGCTTTATTGAGTACCGTATTAAAACAAAATTTGTAAGGCACACTTCTCTAGAGTTCCCTCAAAACCAGGCCAACATTTTAGATTAGATTAACAGATTTGGACCAGGGACCTTGTAGGTCATCTAGTCCACCCCCACCCCACCCCCGGCCCAAGCAGGAGACCTTACGCCATTTCTGACAAATGGCAGTCCAGTCTCTTCTTGAAAGTCTCAAATTTACAGGTAGTCCTTGACTTCCAACAGTTCGCTTAATGACGGTTCAAAGTTACAACGGCGTTGGGAAATAAAATGACTTAAGGCCATGTTTATACACACACACACACACACACACATATTTCCCTGTTCAGAGGAAGACCCAGGCCCACCCCCTCTTCATCCTAAGGCAGGCAGGGAGGAACGGAGAAGGGAGCAATGTGGGTTGGGTGGCTTATGGGGGAGGAAAGGGCCCTGATTCCCTTCATTAGCCACAGCTGGGAAGAGCGTTTAAGAGAGATGCAAGCTGAGTGCGGCAGCTGCTGGGAGCAAATTTGAGTTTATCTTGTGTTGACTTTGGTTATCTGTGTTCCTAAGTCTTCCCAACCGTGTTGAGTTATTGCCGTGCCTTCACGTCTGGAATTCTTGCTCCTGCCCTGCCCGACTAATTACCTCATTTTGCCTTGATTGGAGTTTAAGTTACAGTTTGTGTTGACCACATTTTGGACTTGATTCTCTGCAGCCAAAGGCTGTTTACCTGGGAGAGTTTTTCTCCAGCCCAGAAGGTAACCAGGACATTGGGGGCAAAGTTGGAGCTAATAAAGGGACTCCTACTGATGATCTGACTGGGTTGCCTTTGTGCCACATCCCTTTGGGTCATCACAGTGGGCAGAGAAATCACAAAATGGGACAAAGCTCATTTAGCAACCGTCTCAGTTAGCAATGGAAATGTGGGCTCAACGGCGGTCATAAGTCAAGGTCTACCTGTATACAACTGGACACCCACAAGCTGTAACCACACCCTCCAATTCCTCTAAACCCAGCTGAATAAATTACCACATTTTTCCCAATCGAAAAAAAAAAAACCAAAATGAAAAAAAAAAAAAAACCAATATTCAATCGATATCTCTTATTTTAAAAGCGCCGAAATAAGTTCCTTCCGGGGAGTGGTCCAGCAAGGAAGGGTAGGAGACCTGGAGGCTCACCATCTCTCCCGACTTCAGTTTGAAGAACCCGCTGACGTTGACCGAGAAAAAATGAAACTCGGATTCGCCCGACCAGTTCTTGGTGCTTCCGCCTTTCATCAGGACGACCGAGTTTCTCCGCCTGGCATCGGTTTTGGTCACGTACACCATCAGCTGCAGCGTCTGGCCAGTCAGGTTGCCCGACGTTTCGTGGTGCCTGAAGTACACGTTGGCGTACAGGTAGTAAAAGCCGTCGTGATTGGCTATGAGCCTGCCGTCACTGAAGGTCATGTTCAGCACGTTTGCCCAGCCTTTGTCATGGTGCCAACATGTCAGATTCACTTTCCCGGTGCCTGAGAAGAGAAGATTAAGGGGGGGAAAAAAGAATAATAAAGTATTTGCTTCCTCCTTGTGGGGATTAGAAATAGTCCTCGCTTAACGACTTATTGATAAATCAATCAGATTAGAGCTGGGAGGGAGCTTGGAGGTCTTCTAGTCCAACCCCTACTCAGCCAGAAGACCCTATGCCGTTCCAGAAAAAATGGTTATCCAATCTCTTTAAAATAAAATTAGAGCTAGGAAGGACCTTGGAGGTCTTCAAGTCCATCCCCCTGCTCAGACAGGAGAAAACCCTAGACCAGTGGGGACTAACCTTTTTGAGCTCCTGTGCCAAAAATTGTGCGGGGGCTTGCACGCTCACGCCAGCACACAGAGGGCAATGCCCCCCCCCACGCCCCCTATGCATGTGCGCACAATATCCCCCCACCCACCCACTTCCCGCTGCCCCCTTACCTGCACTGCACCTCCCAGCTGATTTTTTTGCTGGTTTGAGGCCTTTTTCAGCATCCCAGAGGCTTGAGGAAGGCTTCTGCAGGCTTTGCAGGCCGAAAACTAGGCCCGTTTTGTCACTTCCGGTATTTTCGGAAAAACAGGAAGTGACAAAACAGGGCTAGTTTTCGGCCTGCAAAGCCCGCAGAAGCCTTCCACAAGCCTTTGGGAGGCCGAAAAAGGCCTCAAACCTGCCGAAAATCAGCTGGGAGGTATGCGCAGGCGCAGTGAGGTAAGTTTGCCTGCAGCTCGCGTGCCGGCACAAATGGCTCCGCATGTCACCTGTGGCACACGTGCCACAGGTTCGCCATCTCGGCTCTATACCATTTCAGACAAATGGGGGTCCAGCCTCTTCTTGAAAACCTCCAGTGATGAAGCACCTATAACTTCTGAAGGCAACTTCTGTTCTGCTGGCTAATTATCCTCACTGTTCGTTCTAAGGGACCTTGGAGGTCTTCTAGCCCAACCCCCTGCTCACCGCCAGGAGACCCTATGCCATTCCAGACAAATGGTTACTCGATCTCTTTAGAAGAGATTAAAGCTGGAAGCGACCTTGGAGGGCTTCTAGTCCAACCTCGCATGGCAAAAGTGTCAGAGTATATTCATAAACTGGAATAGAGCATGGTAACAAGGTCAGCCAATGCATAGGCATAGCAACTAAGTCAGCCAATGAGGACTGTTTGGAAACTGAAACTAGAAGTAACCTAGGCTGGCAACTGAAACTAGAATAGCCTAGGCTGGAAACTGAAACCAGAAGTAGCTTAGGCATGGCTCTATATTAAGCTCTGCAACTCTGCAACTATGTTAAGCTCTATCTATTAAAAATGAAACTGCTTCTCTCCTCTTGCTTGCCTGCTGAACTAAAATAAAAGAGAAACTAACTTGCTTGCGGAAGACTGGAGCTCTGCTCTGAACTTGCAACCTGTTTCTGTCTGAGTTTGCTCCATGTTGGAGAAATCTACAGCTGGTTTGTAAAATCTACTTGTTCTGTTTATAAAGAAGTTGAACGAAGCATCAGCCACCTGTGTTTATTTTTCTGGCGCTGAATTAACGCTGCAAAACTCTGGAAAAAAAAGTTTGAAAGTGAGCTTACCAGATGGAATATTGTGGCTATCAATTATAAGATGAGCAAATGGCGCTTTCTCCGGCTTGCTTTTCTTGGTGGAATCTGACCAGGAAGCTCCCATTGTGGCTGTTGGGGAGGAAAAAAAAAACCCATCATGTTAAAATCAGAAACTGAAATCTTCCCTCAGCTGAAGGTTCTTGACAAGAAAGAAACACTTACATTTCTCCAATCTTGACTGGTCTTTTCCAGCGCTCAGACGCTGGACTTCCTAAAAAGGAAAAAAAATGCATTTAATACAGTTGAGTGGGATTGTAGCTAAAACTATGGCACTCCAGGAGAGATAAGATCTGATCTCCAGATGGTTAGCGCTACAATTGTGGGAGAAGAATTGGCCAAATCTGGGGGGTGTGGAGTCAAAAGAGGGATTAGCTTAGAATCTCTACATAGCCACAAGCGGTTAGCCCAACTCCCCAGAATTCTGTGGATTCTTATCTAACTAACTCCAAGCAGGTGCTAACCGTTGAGTTTCTAAGGTTCCTACGTGCAGGCATGAGTGGCAATACATCAGTTTAATTGAACCTCAATCAGAATAGAGCGTGTGCGCAGGGCTGCTCGAAGGAAAGAGCATCTGCAGCAGCACAGGCGACTCGGGAGTAAGGCTGCAAGGTGATGGCCCCTCCCTTAAGGGATAAAAGCCAGCGGAGAAACTGAGGTTCTTTGCAGGAAGCAAAGAAGTTTGATACTCGTCCTGGTGGACGTCAGAATATCTGAGTTGGTGTTTGGAGACTCTTTGATTTAGTGTTTAGGAACTTTATCTGTTGTTCTTGGCAGTCTTGTAAAAACTTGGCAAACTCTTCCTTGTTGGAGCTAATTAGTTGGAAGCAGCCTTTTATCTGTGAAGAAACAGGATTTGTTAATGAAACAGTAAAAGGTTGTGCTGTCACCTTTGTCTTGTGTACCTCTTGGAACCAGGTTTGGGTCAGAACAAGTAATGAGCAGCTATGATGATTAAAATGCTTTTGGGGAAAATTACGACAGAACCACTTCCCTTAATTTGCAAGCACAATCTGAAATCCATACGACTTTTCCTACCCTGAGTTGAGAAACTATCTTTCGTGGTAACCAAAACTATCATATGCAGCACCAAATTTTGCAATAGCACTAGAAGTAGCACTTATATACTGCTTCACAGTGCTTTACAAGCAATTTTTACAGAGTCAGCATATTGCCCCCCAACAATCTGGTTCCTCATTTTACCCACCTAGGAAGGATGGAAGGCTGAGTCAATCTTGAGCCGGTCAGGATTGAACTGCCGGCAGTTGGCAGAATTAGCCTGAAATACTGCATTCTAACCAACTGCACCACCACGGCTCTTTAGCAAAGATCTACACATTATATCCAAAAACTTCCACTGAAATTACATCTGTGTGCCCAGGCATTTTTCACTTCTGGTTTCAAAACATTAGAAACCCACAATTGCGACGAAAGCTTCACATTGGACGGGATCTGCACATCCAAACAGGCAATATCACCCACATTATGCTCTCCATCACTTCTGAAGCAGGGAAGACTCCAAATCTCAGGGCAGATCCCTCAGGATCTGGATGTCAACTCGTAAAACATTCCTATGCTTGTTTCCAAGTTGCCATAAGCGGGAGGGGGGGGGCAAAACCCGAAGGAGCAGATCGGCAATTAAAACCAGAAGTGCATTCCACACTTATCTTAAAAAGATTGTAGCTAGGCTACCGGATCTTCTGCCCCGGGGAAAATCCTTCATTGGAGAATGTGACTGGTGACACACCCAGCCCATGAATATGTTTTGTTGGAGAATCTGATTAATAGCACATGGGGGGGGGGACAAATCAGGGTCAGGGGTGTCCATAAATTATGCGTGTCAGAGTTGGCTTCCTACGGGTTAATGCCAGACATGTTGCTCCTAATAAATCTTTTGGATTTTTTTTGAAGCTTGGCTCAAGGCTCATGAGTTAATTAGGGCAATCGCCTGACACTAGAATCTAATTAATGAGGGATATTTCCTAAAAGATAATTTCTCAGAGACGTAGGTCTACCACCCCCACCCCAAACCAGGAAGAAAGCCGTGATAATTTGGGGGGGCATGATTAAAGACAGAAATCTTCAGCGATCTTCCAAATACACGTGGGTGTGCACTTATGCATCCCTTATTGTCTAAGCCTAACCCCAGAGAGAACGCTGGGAAACAGTGATGAGGTGAATACTAAGAAGAAGATCAAACCTCATTATCTCGCAGGAAATCGAATGTTTTCTAGCTCTGTAGGGCCAGGAAGGAAGCTGCAGAGGAAAGCATCAATCTTTCAAAACTTTCACTAGCAAGCCACAGAGAGTGGCCCCACGAATCGCAAAGGAGCTACCAAAATAAAGGCCGGCATTTCAGTTCACGGTGAAAAATAAGATCACGGAATAAAAACTCTGTCAAGGGGTCGCAAAGTCCCTATGCTAATGAACTTCCAAGATTTTGAAAATGGAATGAGACTGAAAAGGACAATCCCGCCCCTGGTCTCTTTTTTGTTCATCCATTTCCTTGCAGAATGCTTTCATCTGAAGGGTGGCATTAAGCAGGGTTGGGTGGGATGGCCTTCATTCTTTCCCTCGCTCCCTGATTCCAAGGTGATATTTTTGCCTACATAAAAGAGAGGAGGAGAAAGAGGAGGAGGAGGAGGAGGAGGAGGAGGAGGAGAGGGGGAGGAGGAGGGGAAGGAAGAAGAAGAAGAAGAGGAGGAAGAGGAAGAGGAGGAGGAGGAGGAGAAGAAGAAGAAGAAGAAGAGGAGGAGGAGGAGGAGGAGGAGGAGG